GGGTGTGGTCCTGGTCAAGACAATCTCCTGAACTCCAAACTGAATGTCAGAATGGGAAAGAAAGGTGATTTAAGCAATTTTGAGCATGGCATGGTTGTATTAGTACTAGTATGGTGTTCCTAATAACCCTTTAGGTGTGTGTGTGTGTGTGTGTGTGTGCGCGCATTGGTTTTTATGATTTATCAGGACTTTTCACCTGATTACGTACCAGCACTATGGGGACATTTGGGATTATGAGGACAGGGATGGTGTCCTCATAATTCCTGTAATACAGATGCACTTGTCTACGTTAGAAAACCCCCCCTGCAAACTTTGGCGCCAAGTCCTCTTACACCACAAAACCACGAAAATCAGTTCACACAGTGTAAACTCTGTATTCAGCATCGCGCCCTCTGTAGGCTGGAGCCGGAGTAACACCAGAATCACACTTGTGTTAAGATTTACTGCTGCCGATTGGCTAGGTCTGGACTAGCCGTCTAAGGTTGTGATTGGCTGGGAGCTATGCCATTCACTGCGTTCCCTCGTTTCTATTGGTGGATTTCAGCACGAGCCTAAGAGGACAGAACAACATCCCATAATATCCAACTCGTGGAACGAACTGTAAAATCAGGTAAGAAAATTGTTTTTATGATATAATAATAGACTAAGTTTTGTTTTCACATTGCAAGAGTTAAATGCAAATTCCAAGGGGTGTACCCATACACAAAATGCACGGTTCGATACAAACTTCGGTTTTGGATTCATGGTTCGGTGAAAGAGACTTTTATTCGCACATTGTAAAAATATATATGTAAAATAAATAAAAACATCTAAAATAAAACATCATGACCATAATGAACAAATACGGTTTTGGATTCATGGTTCGATCGGTGCAATTTCGGTACAGCAGGGAAAACAGAATTTTTTTTTTAATTATTTATTATTAAAACTGAGACCACCAACACAAGGTTAAAATCTGTCGACGTGTCTGAATAACAAAACCTAAGAGACTTTTATTCGCACATTGTAAAAATAAATATGTAAAATAAATAAAAACATCTAAAGTAAAATATCATAACCATAATGAAAAAACTTCGGTTTTAGATTCATGGTTCGGTGCAATCTCGGTACAGCAGGGAAAACAGAATCCCTTGTCTCCTACTGCCGAGTATCGCCACATATCAGTTGCGATAATTTTTCTGGCCGATTAGAATTTTCTGGCAAAGCAGCTTAAATGCCATACGGAGAATAACTTGTAGAGGCTGTTTTTGCCTTTCTCTGGTCGCACATACACTTGGATGATGTCGTCTCAAATTATTAATTCATGTTAATACGGAAGCATTACCTGCTTTTACAATAAATACCAGATTGTGGATCGTATTCTGTTTCAGAGGTGAACACGATGTAGTGATTAGGTGCAAATAAGGCGATTTCATTGTGTAAATATTGCACCGAGGATGATTCGGTATCGTGCAGGAAGCATAAGTCCTTAGGATAATATGGCTGTTTCTGTGCTCTTTAGGTTATCTCATATCCAGAATTCGTTTGGTATATTCGATTTCCCAACAAACTTTATTAGTCACTCGTTCTTACTGAATCACATGTGCAGAATAAAAGGGATGCCAGGCATTAAATATCTGCTTAAAATGTAAACTAAACAATATAAATTGAATATATGAATAAACATCGATGATTTTTCACAGGAGGAGATGGCTTCTTCGAAGCTGAGAAATAGAAAGCTTTCTCCAAAACAAGAGGCTGCATATTTTATATCGGCATCTAAAGATAAAGATGGACTTTATGTAAAATATATAAATTCATATAAAGGTAAATTTAAAGTTTATGTACGAATATTTGATTTTATCCAGGGTTTTTTAGTGTATTAATGTTATGCTGCTTATTGTTAACAGGGAAAATCATGCAGGAGCATTCGAAGCTGATTTTAATCTACTGTAGTGTTTGCTTTCTCTTGTAGGCCGTGGGGTATTCAGCAATGTCCATTTTGAGAGGGGAGACTTTCTTCTGGAGTACAGAGGGCAACTCATCAGCAGGCATGAATGTGAAAGCAGACAGAAAATATATCATGATGCCCTCAAAGTGTTCATGTTTGAATTTTATTTCAATGGAAAATTGTTTTGGTACGTATGGCATTGCATGTTCTTTAACATAATATAAGCTTTTGGTGACTGCTGACATACTCATTTTTTAATGTCTTTAGTGCTCTGATATTTACTAGAAAAGGGTAGTTTTTCTGACTTATCATTTTATGTGATACAGCATTGATGCTGCTCGAGACGATGGCTCCCTTGGGAGACTGGTGAATGATGACTATGTTAGCCCAAACAGCAAAATGAAAAAAATCACCATATCAGGAAAGCCCCATCTTTGTTTATTCGCAACCAGAAGCATTAGTACTGGGGAAGAAATTATATACAACTACGGTGACTCTGACTGGCCATGGACATGCAAGGTATTTAAACATGAAAGAATAATTTAGAAATAACCATCTTTTTGCAAAAGAAGGGTAAAATCCAGATATGTTACTTAAGGGATTAAAAGTTTTTTCATCAATTTATATATTTTTTTTCAAGTCTTTCTCATTGATAATCATGACTAATATTTACAGGCGGCTACTGAAAAAGACCAACTGCCCCCAAAAGAGCAGAGCACATCAAGTGAGGTAGGGAGGACAGGGAAAGTAATTCAGTTAAACTCTTATATGTGACTCTATAATTTTTAGGTTTAAGTAGTTGGAGATATGGATGTGAGTTGAATGAGGATGTGCAGAGAGAATTATATTTTTATTTGTGTTTCTAGAACATAACTGATGTGGGGATGACTACAAATGTCCAGTTGTTGCCAGAAGGGCAGCATGCAGTTGTCCTAAGAGAAGAGACAGAAGAGGTGTGTAGTGACCAATCTTAAAAATCTTATGCATTTTGTCAATATCTGACTAGTCATTAGTTATAGAATTAATTTAATTCCATTATATTCAGTGAAACATACAGCACCATGTCAGTGATGTCAAGTTATGAGCTCCAGTGTGTGCTGGCAATGTTTCTCGAGCTTAAACAAATGGATAGTCACCCGGTATTCTGTGACAAGGATTTATTCAGTCAGTGTTTGAAGTTGGGTATAGCTAGGACTTCTCCTGTGAGCACAGTGTTTTTAATGAGGATGTGCAGAGAGAATGCTCATAATGCTTTGTCCCTGCAAAAGGGAGATCAGTGTGTTAAAGTGTGCTTGACAAAAGTATTATATGTGAGGACGTAGTGTTTACGAGAACTGCAGCGATTACTGGGATTTTGTGTTTCAACATTGTGTGAAACACAAACCTGGTTTGGCGGTACACGAGGTTTTATGAGGACCCTGCAAATGTGTTTTAGCATATAGTTTTATCCACTGTGTGTGTATATAGTGTTTGACGGAAACATGGTCTCGAGGGACTTCTTTATCTGAAGCTCTAGTTGATGTCATAGATGGCCTTTTGCTGTGTTTTTGAGCAGGTTCACCACACTGGACTAGGGCTGCACGATATATCGTTTCAGCATCGTCATCGCAATGTACGCACGTGCAATAGTCACATCGCAGAACGTGCAATGTTAAGTAACACAAATTAAATTAAGCGCCGTGGACAGCGCTGTTGGTGTTTTT